ACCACGACGATGAATCCCCGGCGATAGATAGCGGCGAAGCTGCCGAATCGGTTGCCGATGGTGATGAAACCGTGCATGCGGTAGATTGTTGCACGTGGAGCGGTTGGTCCAGCGGTGGGACCAAGTGGACAACATAATCCTCGTAATTGTACCGAGGACTTGCGACATGCGCATCCTCCCCAGATGTGTAGGAGGCCGCTAGCAAGGTGGCCGAATCTGGCGGAGTGAGAGGTGGAGTCGCCTCACCTCCTGCGCAACTCAGTTTCCCGAGTTAAGACGAGGCCGCACATCCTCCTTGGCCTGATCTTGGCAAATGAAGGTCTTGTGCTTGGTGTTGTTGCACCCGTAACAGCAGTGGTTGCGGTACTTGTACTCGGCCTCGGTCAAGCCGAACTTGACCCATGGTGGTGCTGGCTGTCCGTTTCCGGCCTGCAATGCTGGTTTCGCCTTCCCGTTCACTCTGGGCTTGTTGCTTCGCGGCTGGACAGCAGCCACCTGACCTCCCTCACGTGATGCTGGAGTGGCTGCTGGGTCTTCTCCACTGTCCGATTGGACTGCAGCGAACTGCTGCTGTCGCAGACCAGTTCGTACCTTCTCCACATAGGTTGGCTGCCACGTTGACTTCTCGTGTGCGGCCGCCCTGTTGGTCTTGATGATCTCTCTTGCCTTGTTGATGATCTCTGCGAAAGTGTTGTACTGCTCGCGATCACCAAGTGCGAGGCTGAGAGCGGCGCATGACCTGTTGTAGAACTCACGGCGCAGATGCGGAAATGGCAAGTCCAGATCGGGCGTGGCCACGATCTTCTGCCCATCCGTGAGCCAGTCACGTGTCGGTGTGCTCCCTTGAGCATCGCGAAGATGCGGTTGATGGCGAGCGCGGGTGCGCCATCCACTATGAACCGCTTCTTCCATTCCTTTGCCATATCCTCCCAGGTGACCTTCTTATGCAGGTCTGAAACCTGGACGCTGTAGATGGTTGCCATGTGGCTGAGCCGGATCTGACATCCTCCCTTGGTGTTGATGAATAGAGCACTGATGAACAGATGGTTAGGGACCTCGTGGATCCCCAACTCCGTTGTAAATCCTTGCCGCCAGACAACCGGGTCTTGATGTGTGTAGTCATCAAATTTCTCGATCCGGAAGGTCGGCATCTTGTATGGCCTTGCCGAGCTGCTGTTGTGGCTGTGGTCCGTCGGCTGTTGCAAACTGATCTTAGTGTCCAGCAACTCGAACCGCTGGCTGATGGTGGCCGGCTCTGTGAAGGCACTTATGTCTCCTAGCATTGCCACTACGTGGTCAACGCGTTCCTCCACTGCTGGAAGCCCCAGCATCTGGTCCTAGGACAGCCTGTTCCAGGTCCAGTACACGGGCATCCAGTGCCCGTGTGGAATCCTCGTGCTGAGTCTTATGGTTCCGCACGGCCCGCTGGAGGTTCGCCAACTCAGACTGTAGGTGGTTACAAGTATAAACCAACCTGGTCACGAGCTTGGCCATGAACTCCTTATGCTTCTCTTCCGATGTTGGTTCGTCGCCGTTCGGTTCAAAGTGCCAAGACTTGAGTCTGTCGATGTTGCTGGCTTCATGCCGCTGCAGCAGATCCTGGGCTTCCTTGCGGCGAGCCTGGGCATTTGCGTCTGCTTCGGCCTGTAGCCGCAGCTTCTCTGTTGTTGCCTCTTCTTCAGCCTATAGCTGGGCAGCCTTGAATGCCAGTTGGCGTTGTTCCTCAGCCTCGATTGCAGCGAGTTGAGCCTGGAAGCGCTTTTTGTAGTCGGCAATGGGCTCATTGGCCAATTGGCCTGGCAGGCCCGTCATGTTGCTGACGTGGCACTGCTTATGTGGCACTGTACCAAAAACACGCAGGTAGGAAACCAACCCAACAATACTTTCCTCCGGCCCTAATCAACAAATAAAAAATAAAAAAATAAAAGAGGACTACTTCCTTTTTTTTTTTTTTTTTTTTGTATATCTGTC